TTTGTAAAGCACAAGTGTCCCATCACTTTTTTGAGACACTATACATGACTAAAGCGTAAAATATAAAAGACAATCACAAACAAACCACTGACTTAATTGGCAATAGCTCATCAATTTCATTATTTTAATAAAGTACAACACTTTCAAATCATTTCCAATGATATCATTTTTTCCTCCGCATTGCAGAAGCTCTTCCAAAATCGCAATGTAAAATAATGTGTTTTGTGTATTTAAACCTATTTTAAAAATAATCCCCACTTCAAAATAATAAATGTACATTTTAAGTACATTTATTATTTTTGTACATTTTAAGTACATTTATTATTTAATAAGTACATTTTAAGTTGATTCTGTACAGTACAGAATTTAAAATTCTTTATGGGTATGATGTAAGCCGTTTCATATATATATACACACCTAAAGTGTAAAATAGTCAGACAATCAGAAACAAATTACTGACTTAATTGGCAAAAGCCCATCTATTTCCTTTTGTTAAAAAGGTTGTCAATAATATGGTTATTTCATACCGAACTAACAATATCCCCCAATTGTTTTGAACAATGAACGTGACTGCAAGATGTTACTCTGGAGTAGAAAAGAAACTGAACCTAAAACTCCATTACAACTTCTTTATTTTAATATAAGTACAAGAATTTCAAAGCATCTCCACTGACATAATTTTTTTCTCTGCATTACGTAAGCTGCTGCCAAATCGCAATGCGAAATTATGCGTTTTGGGTATTTGAACCCATTTAAAATATAACACTATATATATATACCTAAAGTGTAAAATATTAAAGCCAATCACAAACAAATCACTGATTTAATTGGCAATAGCCCATTAATTTCTTTATTTTAATTATAAGTACTACACTTTCAAAAGATCTCCACGGACATTATTTTTTCTCCGGAAAATTGCGGAAGCTCTAGCCAAATCTCAATTCAAAATTCAAACAATACACTCCAATCTTATTTATATGCCCTGTTGCATAATATGCATATATTCCTCCTCTGTTCTTACCTAGCTATCATCTGTTTACCCTTATGCAATTTTTTGTGTATTGCCCTAAAATTGCGATTGTTGCAAATTGTGCTAAGCGATGTCTACAAAATGGGCAGCGGCATAGCAGGGGGGGCAAGAGGGTGTGTGTGATGGCTCGTGCGTCGCTTGCAGAGGGGAGTCAAATGGTCTCCAAACACGATTTTCTTGAAAATTTCAGTTTTTGTTTTGATCGACTTCTGGAAAATATATTTAAAATTAATAATTATTGGAATATAATTAATAAAATGTAATAAAATGTTTGCAGTTCATTAACCAAATATCTCTGCATACAAAACGTTCTTTCTGACCATTTTATTTCTCTAAAATAAAGATATATTATTATTTTTTTAAAACGAAATGCACATTTAGATCCCACTTTTTATTTTAAAGGTATAACACGACCTTGTCCCGAATTTTTCAAACATATCCATATCCCAAAAACCGATTCCATAGTCTGGAAATGACATTTTAATAAACTCCTAATGCTTTCGCTACAATGGATTGCGTTTGACTCTCCTGTAAACGCCTGATGGCCTTCCTGGCTACCGACTCAACTAAGTCATCAGGCTGAGACATCGTATATTCACTGCTTCAAAGCATTCAATGCATGTCAATTGTTTTTAATATCCTACTACAAAAGGAATGCTGAGGTCGCTCCTTATATAAAACATATAGTTTTCTATGTCACAGACTAAATTTGCATATTCCCAACTTGTAAACATTATAATTTTCCTTTATAATCTCATCTATTTCCTTTTGTTAAAAAGGTTGTCAATAATATGGTTATTTCATACCGAACTAACAATATCCCCTAATTGTTTTGAACAATGAACGTGACTGCAAGATGTTACTCTGCAGTAGAAAAGAAACTGAACCTAAAACTCTATTACAGACCTATGGAGAAATTGTTTTTCCAAGTCTAAGAGTAGCACTTCAACTACTCCTTACAATTTCATTAGCAAATGCTAGCTATGAACATTCGTTCAGCAAATTAAAATAAATTTGGACATATTTATAATCAACAATGGAACAAGATCCCCTAAGTCACCTAGCATTTTTAAAGGTAGAAAGAGACAAATATGAAATGATAGACTTAATACATTCATGTAAAGTACACTTATGGAAAAAAAAATAGTGCACCAAGAAATAACTGTGGGATCGTAATGAAACTTGCAATGAAGGTACATGTTGGGGAGATATGCAAATGATTAGAAATGCAACATGATTGCACATTACGTATAGCCCCGGTAGAGAGCGTTAAACGTCGTACTCTGTGGAGTATAAAACAGGTAACCAAAACTTGTTTGAGTGTGCTGAATTATTTACAAAGGAAGAGCTGAGGTAGACATGCCATTATGCTGTGTTCGAAGACAATATAAGCAGTTGTCGCAGTTTGAGAGGGGGTGAATCGTCGGGATGATGGAAGCTGGGTGGTCAGCTAGGTGAGTAGCTTGTCAATTAGGTCGCTCTGTGTTGTGAGGAGGTGTTGAGATCAGTGGACCTGAGAGATGTCATGTACACGAAGACCAGGCTCAGAACGCCCTTGACAGACCAGTCATCGAGAAGACCACCACATCGTAAGAAATGCACGCGTACAGACTGCTTCATCGGCCGCCATCAAGGCACAGGTAATACCTTCACTAGGGGCCCCTGTGTCTTCTCGAATCATACAAAGGCGCCTGGCTGAAGGACAGTTGGTATCGCTACATCCATTACTACCCTTCCTTGGCCTGCCTGATCCCCAGATTTGTCTCTAATCGAGCATATCAGAGATCATTTGGGACGATGAATTAGGCATCCCACGAGTTTGAACGAACTAGAGGCAAAGTTACAGCAAATATGGAATGAAATGTCTCAAGACATCATACAGAACTTGTATGACTCAATGCCCGATCATATTGCATCGTTCATTCGCACTAGACGGGGTCCAACGGAGTATTAACTGCTTCGTTCTTTTGCCTTTTTCTCTGAAATAAAATATCCTTTTTCTTTGATTTTCTTCTAAGTAGTCATTACATATGTAAAATTTCATTTCATTTTGATGACTCCTTCTTCGTGCGCTAATTTTTTTTGTCCATGAGTGTAATTCATAAATTTGCTTCAAAGCCAAGAAAACTGTATACATAGTAATTAATTGTATTAATGTATTATAGCATTAAATTATTATTAATAAATATATCTACTTATCTGTAATATATATGAAAACTTTTATGTTTAAAAATTGTATATTTTTAAAAAACAATTATATAAATATGTAAAATAAATACCTTTTTAACTGATTCTAGATCATCGAATGTCTGATTTTTCTGCCGACACAGATACATTTCCGAATCTAATGCTAGTGCAGTTAGGTAGTGACTATTCTGAATATATTTTACAGCATTTTTTGGCAGATTGAGCATTTTATTATTAATTGTATTATTTTCTTATTACGAACATATTCTATACATTATATTACCGTAAGTATTTTTTTGGAGAGGGGTCCAAAAAGGGCATCTTACCCCGGGTGCCAGTTAGGCTCGCTACGCTAAAATGGGTTTCCAAAAATTGTGTATGTTGAGAAATAATATGTGGTTAATCATCATGCAAGATTTGCTTTGTCTAGATTTCACTCTACCATGCCGTTAGTATTTCTGCTACATTCTAATTAAATTTGCAATCTGGCCATGACTGAAAAATAAATCAGTTCTACCATCGTACAATTCCCAAACTATTACACACATACATATAGAGACAGAGAGGAAGTGAGAGAAAAGTTGCAAGTCCCCGGACTGGAGATATCTATATTGGTGCAAGTGCTAATCTGTCGTCTACTTAGTTGCATGCAATTCTTCTAGGGTGGTGCAGCCCATGTAGTATTGGGTGGAACATTATTCACAACCACTCAGATGTTCAGGCATTTGTGTTTCCCACAACTGTGATCCCTGAGGAAAGGTAGTGGTGTTGCTATGCATTTGAGGTTTAACAACGGTTACAGAAAAATTCTGGTCTGTCAGATTTGGGTCTTAAGGCAGTAGCATGATTCATGTACTTCAACATTTGGGGGAACTTAGGCTGCCGACCCCCACCATGACTAATATGAGGGCTCCTCAATTGGGGCAGGTCTGAGTACTGCCAGATAGGCATATAATTTAACACAAAGCACATATACATATATATATACACACACATGAGCAGCTCCAGAAGCAGTCAGGGGGGTAGCTAGAGGGGGGCCATCTGTCTCCGGGCGCAGAATCCAAGGGGCGCCAAACTGATGTTACGACATTTTAGAATTAAATGTTTTAAATCCTTGGCAAGCAGTAGGGGGCGCGAAATCTTCAGCTGTCCCTGGGCGCTGAAACCCCTAGCTACGACTCTGGAAGCAGTGCATGCAGTGTGGTTGCAATAATATACACAATTATTTATACTGTTTCTCAGTACTTACATATGATTTATTGAGGAAATATATCAGTTTTTAAAACTGCATTAACTGACTTTCAACTTGGCAGAAATAATAATTATTAAGTTTTTAGTGAAAGCTTTTTAACTGCATCACTATATGCAGCATTTTGAAAAATTGCCAAATATCCAATTTTATTAAAATTTATATTTATATTGATGGTCCACTGTATACACAAATTTACATTACAAATATTCTGCAATACTTTAAAGATGATATGATATGATATGTTTTATTATGGTAAGGCCTCAAGGGCTATCTGCCTAAGGGAAGGAATGCCTTCGTGGAGGACTTTCTAATGGTAACTGGCTCCTATATACGTTACACATGGGGAAAACCACGAAAACGCTCATGCAGCCAGCCCGTTCACGGGATTCGAACCTCGGACCGAACAACCAGTGTTCAGCGACTTTACTGCTCGGCCGCTGGTGGGCCCAATACTTTAAAGAAGGCAAGATTAATATTATTAATTTGCATTTTATTACAAATATATATGAAATCATTTGTTTAAAATCATACCGCTGATCTCTAAATCTTGACTCTCTTTCTTCTGAATATGGCCGCATCTTTGCTGGTTTACAACGAACTGTTTTCACAGGATTCACTGCATCTTCTACTAGAGCAAAAGTATATATTTTAAAGACAAACATAAAGGCATTATAAGCATAAGGAAATATGTATACACATGATCAATGATTTTTTGTTATTTATATTAATCTTCTATGCAAATGCAGACTATATTGTTAGGAAAACCTCAAGAAGGAAAACCAGTTTTCAATAGCATTAACAGCAGAGGTAACATTGGAGATACTTGAGCAAACAGCCTTCCTAGAGAGCCTATGTTATCTATGTAAGAGATTTTCTGAAGTGCTTTGCTATTGAATCTACAAGATGTAATAGGAATGATGTGCTTTAGGGCCTAAGAGAACATAGCAAAACATTAAGCAGCAACAAAACATGCATTCTCATAGTAAAATAAGTGGTGGAATGTGAATGCTGATATACAATAAATAAAGCACATGATGAAAAAGATATTATTATTTATGCATATTTAGAAGAAATAAGTATCCACATTCATTAAAATTGTTCAAATGAATGACCATCAAATACAAAAGAGGCATCACTGCAGTGCCAAAGCGGCTAGTATACTCTTTGGAAAATGCCCAAACATATCACATACGTTCACAGCAGTGATACAAATTCTGGTGGTACAATCTTCAGCAAAGCCAATCTAGTCAATGTGATGCATGTACTGTAGTTACTGGTTATCCATTTAAAGAAATTTTGAAAATATCAAAGACTACCTCCTGCAAATACGCACGAGAAAAGTTTTTGCCTTCCATATCCTTCATACTTACAGTGCTTCAGCATTCACATATCACCATGCAATGCAGTATGAAATTTGTTACATTTGTTGTTATTATCTATCACCACATAAAGCTCTGAGCATCATTCCTGTTACATCTGTAGATTTCTGCGATGAACTGCCATAAAATTATTTATCAGCTTGCCTGTAATGCTGGAATATTCTATTTATCTTCTATATGAAAAAATAGATTATACTCATTATTGTAACATTTATTTATAGTTGACTTTTATAATTATGCATAACCTGTAAATTTAAAATGTTCATCCACACAATTTTATTGAAATTATTCTTACAGTTTCAGCATTCAAGGAACTAAATTTTGAATCTACCTGCTCTTCTTCCCATTCACAGTTATTGATTTGAAAATTTATCAAGAGAGGTAATTAATTGAAAAATCTTACAGTATAAACTGCCTGATATAATTTCACCTTGCTCTCTTACAGATGTTACGTACAAAGGTAGTGATATAGTTTCAAAACTCAATCCAAATTCATCTGAAAGAAGTGTTTTGTTTTAACCATAATTGTTATTCTACATTTTTGTTTTAATGTATATTGTTAGAAATGCATCTATATAATTGCATTTACGCATTAATTTAAATTGCAGGTGCTCAATTCTTCTTGTTTATTTTCATAGCTTTTAATAGGAAAAATTATTCCTAAGAATTCTCTAACTGATGTTTAAAGGTGGGCATTTTATTTTATTTAACAATTATTAAGTAAAATAATTGCCAGAGACAGCAAATAAATAAAAATTTATAATTTATCCTTTTAATGTAATAAAAAAATGCAATATACAATGAAGATTCGAATTCCTATCCATTATATTATGAATACAAGGAGTTTCAATCCCTTGCAATTATGTTAAAATGCATGATTATTTATTAACTTTAAAAATTTAACCCAGAATAACAATACCGGAAATATATTTTTCATTCCAGTTCTTCGAGTAGATAATGATTTCGAGATGTTAGGCTGGCATAGAGTAAGTGGAATGCATCTACTAGATCAACTTGTTTTGAAATTTCATCAAGAGGTAATTAATTGAAAAACGTTACAGTACAAACTGCCTGATATAACTAATATCACCTTGTTCTCTTACAGATGTTACGTACAAAGGTAGTGATTTAGTTTCAAAACTCAATCGAAATTCATCTGACTTTTACTGCTGGGGATAAGCCAGTGCAACCTGCCTGACTTTTACTAAAGTCCTAAAAGTTAAAGCTGGATAAGCCTGACTTTTACTGCTCAATCCAAATTTATCTGACTTTTATTGCTGGGGATAAGCCAATGCAAAATATTTCTAGTGCAAAATATTCATTCTCATGCTCTAGTTTTCTGCCAGCAACAGTAATATTTATTCATTGTACAAGAGAAGCACAAGATTACCTTGCAGTTAAAAAGTTCTGATATTACACCAAATCTTTATTAAAGACCTGCATACTTTTTGCTGTATTTACCTGAGATTTTTATTTCAACTAACATTTCATTACAAATATTTCAGCTGACATATTCAGTCTATAAATCAGATTTACAAATCCCTTTCATTATTTTTATAAAATTTAGTTATTTAAATCTAACGTTTATGTTTATTTGGGGGCAAGGTATTTGGGTCATCATTATCCCCACATGTTTAAATTTCTATGCAAACACTATACTTAAAGGCAAGAAAAATTTTGCACTATTTTAGCCACTTTATTATTTAATTTATACCTTTATAATGAGAGTTGCAAGGTTTATAAATAAGCCATCATATAATACCATTTTAAGCCATCTTTCTGGCAGATTTTCATTGTTATGGCAGTTTTAAGAGGCAGAAAGACTGTCCACAGCCTCTACTATCTCATGAAAGCTGTTTTCTTGGTGAGCATGAAGGAAAAAGCTGTAGATGTAAGCAAGATATAATAAAGTATTGCAATGCCCAAGAATATTTGCTGGATGTGATTTCAGTTTAAATCTTGCATGCTGTTGGTGAATTTTTCTCTTCCTTATGACCTAGCATTTCTGGTTTTAATTAAATTTGCTTCAATTGCTCAAAGCACAGGTTTAGTGGCAGCGTGACCATTTAGAATGAACTGATAATGGATTTTCACAGTGGTTCTCAGCCTATTTTGCCCCCCATGCACAATTATTATTTCCTGAAGAACATACTTATAGATTTTAGATTTAGATTATTTTTTAACACGTTTATAAGTTAAACAACAAAAAGTATAAAAAAATGTTGATAAATATCAAAACTTGAATAAAACTACATTTTTTATACTCATAAACTAAAACCATATACTTAACAGCTAAATAAAAGGCTTTCTGCATTCCCCTTGACTATGAATGTCCCCCAGGAACCTTCCCGCTATTGAAAACCTCTAGATTATCATTCAAAAATTCTAACCAACATGTAACATTTAAGTTTGACAACAGTTTTAGGAACCTAAGAAATGTTCCAAGCTCTGCCTTTGTTAGGATTACATAAATAGACCCACTTCTCACTGGATATGCACTTCAGGAAACAAATTTTAGAAAAAACCTTTAATACATTAGCCTCAGGGCTGAATTCCTTGTATAAACTGAAACGGAACATAAGATACAGGCTAAGCCTAACACATTTATATGCAAAACGTTTGATTCACACTAATGCATTTATTTAGTTTCAAACAAAACCTGCTAAAAACTAAACATGTCTGTTTTGCTTTCATCATTGCGATTTCTGCAAGATTAAATTATGTTAACAACATACAGAAGCCCGAATTGATCACTCAATGCTGCACTACAAAGTAACTAAACTTCCAATTATGAGTCTTTCATATAATAAACAATTCATGTGCTGAAAATCTGGTTGATTAGATAGCTCATTTTTGGTTGAAAATGAGTTTCAAAACCTCACTGAACAGTGGTGCCTAAGGAGAAAGTAATTCAGTTTCATGAAAAGTTCCAGGTAGCAATTTGAAAGGATATTCGTAGCAGCAGAAGCAGATACGATAAGGACCAATCAGATAATCTGGAGTATGTTATTTAACGTTAGAAATTACATAATTTCTGTCAGAAACAGGAAATGGATAAGACTTGCAAATCATTCTATTTGAATTTTTATCTAATAGAATTGATGTCCAAAATTTAAATGAGTAATGGTTATAATTCCTTTTATTTTTTTAATAAAACAATCCAATTTACATTAGTCCCTTTCTTCTTGGCCAGCAACGAGAATGAATATAACTATCTCCAGCACTTCTCAGGAATGCCATACGTATATGAGGACAGTCTGAGAAATTCAACACATTCTAAAGGTAAAAAGAGGAAAAAATATTGACTGCTTCAAATTTAGAAAAGAATACTTGAAAGAAATATTTAACTGCATTTAATGCAGTTAAAAATCTAACTTGATCGTGTCTTTAGACATGAACAATTCTTCATAAGGCAGTGATTTTCATGTTGAAACAAGGGTATAGAGGAGAAAATTTTCACTAACATTTGGAGATAATGCTGTACAATGAGGAATTATTATAAGAAAAATATCCTCCATAAGTAACATAGCCTTAAATGCTGAAAGATCTTTTACTTAAGGGGGGAACACCTAGTTTACCTAATAAGTTTCAGAATATCTGCAAGTTTAAGATATATTGTTGCTTGAGAATAACATATAAAATTTCACTCATTCCTACAATATGTATTGGTGATAAAATTCATTCATTTCTAAAAGTAAATGGCAGACATTTGGAAAAATGTGTTACAATTAAAGAAGTGAGATAAAACTATTTTTTTAAACCCACATTTATTTAAGTTATCATTAGTCATCAGATTAAAAGATAATTATTTAGGAAATTAGAGGAAGATGATTTTACCTCACAGATGGGATTGTGACTTATAACTGCTGTTTTCAAATAGCTCCTTAAAAAAAAAAAAAAAAAAAAAAAAAAAAAAAAAAAGATTCTTCTTTTCTCGACACAGATCATAATTTACAGCTGCCCCAAATACTGCTTAATTTTTCCTATTTCTACTAAATTTTATCCATAAGTTACACCCACAAAGAAGGTATTCCTAATTTTTGTATAAAATGAAAGTATCCATGCAATTCTATGCAAACTCCAAGCAAATGTTATGAAATTCTATGCAACAGTATCAACACTGTGAATGGAAGATTCAATATTATTACATTAGAGCTCAAATAAAAGATTAAATATTTAACAGTACTTAATAATGCAAGATTCATTTCATTATACACTCAAATCAGGAGTGTTATTACCTTGTGGACTTTTACTTGAATCTTCACTAGTATTTAGAATTACTCGCCTTCGATGCCTTCCTTGCCAGCCCTGTGCTCGCATTTTCGTTTTTCCTGCAGAAAAAAGACCTTTTAGACATTACATTTTCAAAAAAAAAAAAAAAAAAAAAAAAAAGATTCTTCTTTTCCCGACACAGATCATAATCTACAGCTGCCCCAAATACTGCTTAATTTTTCCTATTTCTACTAAATTTTATCCATAAGTTACACCCACAAAGAAGGTATTCCTAATTTTTGTATAAAATGAAAGTATCCATGCAATTCTATGCAAACTCCAAGCAAATTTTATGAAATTCTATGCAACAGTATCAACACTGTGAATGGAAGATTCAATATTATTACATTAGAGCTCAAATAAAAGATTAAATATTAACCAGTACTTAATAATGCAAGATTCATTTCATTATACACTCAAATCAGGAGTGTTATTACCTTGTGGACTTTTACTTGAATCTTCACTAGTATTTAGAATTACTCGCCTTCGATGCCTTCCTTGCCAGCCCTGTGCTCGCATTTTCGTTTTTCCTGCAGAAAAGAGACCTTTTAGACATTACATTTTCAAAATACTGCATAAGAGAAATAAAATAGATTATTGCACAGTTTTTAAAAATAGATAGTAAAATTTCTTCCTGTAATTATAACTGCTGTTTTCAAATAGCTCCTTAAAAAAAAAAAAAAAAAAAAAAAGATTCTTCTTTTCCCGACACAGATCATAATCTACAGCTGCCCCAAATACTGCTTAATTTTTCCTATTTCTACTAAATTTTATCCATAAGTTACACCCACAAAGAAGGTATTCCTAATTTTTGTATAAAATGAAAGTATCCATGCAATTCTATGCAAACTCCAAGCAAATGTTATGAAATTCTATGCAACAGTATCAACACTGTGAATGGAAGATTCAATATTATTACATTAGAGCTCAAATAAAAGATTAAATATTTAACATTACTTAATAATGCAAGATTCATTTCATTATACACTCAAATCAGGAGTGTTATTACCTTGTGGACTTTTACTTGAATCTTCACTAGTATTTAGAATTACTCGCCTTCGATGCCTTCCTTGCCAGCCCTGTGCTTGCATTTTCGTTTTTCCTGCAGAAAAGAGACCTTTTAGACATTACATTTTCAAAATACTGCATAAGAGAAATAAAATAGATTATTGCATAGTTTTTAAAAATAGATAGTAAAATTTCTTCCTGTAATTACAAAAGGCTCTAAACTTTATTTGCATTTAATCAGACAGTCAAATATATCCTTTGTTTATTCCATTCTTAGATGGTGTTATCCCTCCATTTTGTTATTATTAATTAGTAATTAGTTATCTTGAAGTAGAAAATGAGAAGCATGACACCAATTTGCCACGAGTGTTAATTAAGTATTTATCAAAATTGTCAGGGTAATTTTCACAACTGAAATAAAATTAGACCAGAAATAAATTATATAATAAAAATTTAAAAAGAGCTTACTAAATTGAGGATGACTAAAACAATTTACTATGTTCAAAATGAGATCGAGTGTATTCAACATACACCACAAGCAGACCGGTCTTTGAAAGTTTTGGCCGTACATGCTTTGCATTAGGACGGCAGGTTCAATTCAGAAAGTGAAGCTTCGCGGCAGGTGGCGCTTTACTCCTACCACTGTGAATCGTATTAGATTTTTTTAAAAAAGAAATATGGGATCTTGTATTGCCCACGGACATGCAAGGACAGTATCTAAATGAATTTCTATGTTATATTTTCAACGAAAGTATTAATTTTTTAAGTAATACAGAACAGTGGCTTCAAACAGGTGACCGGCGGACCACATCCAGCTCTCAAAATGCGGTTTTTACAGTTCTAGTGATACTCTCAGTTTATATGAATTGGGCTGATATAGCCGATTGCTACTGAAGGAGAAAAATATTGAATAGATTGGAGCTTTGTCAATGTACCCCTGTATTCCTAAACCCTTGACTGGAGTAACGATGAAGAGCCTCCATGTCGGTACAATCTGTAAATTTAGTTCGCCAGTCAACAGTTGGTATTCTCATGTTTCCAGTCTTCTTCTACGAGGGTTGGAACTTTAATAGTGGCAACACAGCTGAAAAAACGCTATGCAACAAAACCAAAGAATATCGCGTATACCACATGTAAACTACATACCTACCTTACCTCTCAGCAAAAGGACTCGTCCTGCCTACGTCACATGCATGCGGAGTGACGCGAAGAACGAAACCTTGTATTAGCTCGCGGTCTAAAGTAAGTGTTGTCAGGATGTTTTCAAAACAAGAACAACCATGTTAGATAAAAATTGAATGTGCCAGAGGTCGTACAGCACGACAGTGTCATCAAGGGCTTCAACAGGCTTGCGGAGAACCTGCATTGCCTTACAGAACCGTAGCAAGATGTCTGAAAGCATTCAATGAAGGAAGCCAAAACGTGGCAGACATGCTGTGGCCAGGTTGTCCGAGTGTCAGCGATGCAGACGTGCAAGCTGTTGCCGCACTAATGGACAGTGATCGCCACCAAACGATTCGTCAGCTGGCCGGACAAACAGGATTAGCGCATACGATTGTGCTGCACATTCTGAAGGAACGCCTGTCCATGAGAAAAGTTGCTTCACGATGGGTTCCACATCAATTGACGGAAATGCAGAAATGGCTACGATACGATGCTGCCCGAACCCACCTGGAGCGCTATGAGCGCGAAGGAGATGTTTTTTTTACACCGTATCATTACGCTGGATGAGACTTGGGCCCGATCGTACCAGCCAGAACTGAAACGCCAATCAAACGAATGGCGTCATCACGGATCACCACGACGTTCGAAATTTCGTCAGAACCCCAGCAATGTGAAAGTTATGGTGATTCTCGTGTACGACTGTGATGGTGTCATCCTAACGCATACCCTTCCCCCACAGCAGACCGTCACTGCGCAGTATTACTGCTCATTTTTGGAGCACAATCTCCGACCAGCTTTGAGAAAAAAACGGCGACACTTTCTGCAGAACGCTCCTCTCACTTTGCATGACAATGCTCGGCCGCAAGCAGCGCAAGCTGTGACTGATTTGTTCAAGCGATGGGGCTGGGAAGTGCTTTACCATCCACCATACTCTCCTGATCTAAGCCCTTGTGATTATGACTTAATTCCTAAGATGAAGGAACCACTTCGTGGCACTCGCTTCCAAACTGTTCCTGAGATTCTTGCGGCAGTAGACCGGTCCATTCAAACTATCAACAAAACAGGCGCTGCTACAGATATTCTGCGACTTCCACATCGTTGGAAACGGGTTGTACACAATGCTGGCGACTATATTGAAGGACTGCAAAACATGGTGACATGAATCACTTTTGTATTCCTTGTAAATAAATAGTTGCCACTATTAAAGTTCCAACCCTCGTATTAAGCTAGTACTATAGATATATTCAATTCTCAAGTAAAGCACTCGTTAGTTAGCTGGATGCACAGCTGCATATTCCCTATTGCTATACAGATCAATTCATAAACACGGCCGCCGCTTCTTCAGGCAGGTCTTATTTTCGGATTAAGGAAGAAAACTGGGAACTCTCCCTCCTTCTCGATTATGTAGACCAGAGCTTGAACCATACATTTAGCTCTCATAAAAGCATTTTTATGCAGTTCTAAGCTAAAATTGCTTCCTCTTTTATACAATTACTTGCAGGACCGCCTTATATACTGGGTCATCTGAAAAGCTGTACGTTCTTTTGATGATGAATATAAATGAAGCAGTCCAAAAACCAATGCTTAAATTGTACCGGACTTCTCAGTTTCTCAGGTAAACTGTAATTCTAGCCGGAGCGCACGGGAGCCCTAAATAAAGAGGCTCCAATACTTGCTTTATGTAAGTGAAACACAGTTTCAGCAGACAAATTTTATTTTAAAAATAAATATACCTCTAAAAATCGATTATAACTTCCGAATTCATGCCTATGTTTCCACTTGGGAATAAACGTTTTGAAAAAGGTTAAGACTTTTAAGGAAAGAAAAGCCCCTATTCACATATCAAAGGCTTATTTTCCAGGTTGTGCAATAAGTTTATGAAAGCGGGTAAAATATTTTGTCTCCAAAAGTAATGATACTGATTACTTTGATCTTCCATGTTCAGTGCTAGTGACCTCTCACTGCAGAGCTTCTGCAGACTTGAACTATGTAACCAGATACGAGAGACAAAAATTGTCACTTATGCAGACGTTACATTTATTCGCATATTGTCATCGGATCAGATTCGGGGAAATTTGTTTGCTCAGTTTCATTCTGCTTGACAGCGAGAATTATATTCGTAGGGCATCGCGGTCAGAAAGGGTTGGACACTTCTTTCTTTGATTTCGATGCTACAATTCTCCATTAAAATTTCTTTCCATACTCACATATTGTTTCTATCATTCTCTGTATTTTCATTAGTGACGCTTTAATCGTTTCACTTTTTTTTCACTTGCGTGCTAGAAAGAGAAGTTCTTCCCCCCCCCATTAAAATTGTACGTTGTACTGCATATTTAGAGCCTAAATTCAGCCGGAGGCCGGCTGATCTATTTCCTAGTTTCTTTTCTGAAAATGTAAGTCGATTCGGAGCCCCAAATAAGACGGGGTTCCATAATTTATTTCCTTTATTTAACTATTTATAATCAAGTCAAACAACAAAATATCAGCGTTACATTTGCAAATTTTCACAGAACTAGTTTCAATGATTTTACCGAATCATCATCCTCAGCTGCTAAAGTGAAACTGCTGATTTTGCACTTTGGCAGCTGAGGCTGATGGTTCAGTAAAAACCATCGAAACCAGTCCTTTGAAAATTCGCAAACATAACCCTGATTTTTTGTTGTTTGACTTCTAAATTAATCTTTGTTTGACGTGTCATTTTAACCTATTTATAATTACTTTAATGACTTACTAAATTTTTATTTAAATCTTTATATTTATCGAGTTTTCATTTTCATTTAATTGTTTTAATTATTACTTATTATGTTTATTTATTTATTTCCCTTCGTCCTGACGGCCTTCCAGAGGACCCTGCCAAAAACATAAAAAAATTTCACTGAATCACTGAAATTTCACTGAATTTGTGAAAAAAATTTCACAAATCACATAGCCACAACTTTGCTCTATGACTTTTTGCCATTTTTCCAACACGTAGAAAAATCCTTTTCTTTAAAATGCGATTATGATTATTCATAAAGTAGTTATTGAGGTGTGTTTTGGCAGTCTCCAAAGCAGTGAACTCCATACTGTTCAGAAAATTTTGAAGTGATCTGAAGAGATGAAAATCGGAGGAGTACGGTTTGGTGGATACGGGAAGAAGGTAATACAAAAGGTAGCATCATTGCTTCATTTGCATCATTAGTTCGGGATTTACTTAGGAAACCTGACCCTACTGATCCTTATACAACGCTCAAAACTGAGTTAATAAACTAACATTAATAACTTAATGTTAGTTATTCATTCAGCGTTTCCCTCTTACAGTTCAGCCTAATTTAGCATCGGCTCCCGGTATTAAATTTATACAAAGCTGCAGAATCTTAGGAGTAAATTCAACCCCTGGGAGTTGTGTCGTTTTTCGCACAGTCAATCATTCTTTTGAGGATAAATTATTTAAAGAAATAGAAAACTTAAACGTATTCATCGTATTTCCCTTTCTCGTGGTTGCTCGCCAAATAACGGAGATAACAATAAAAAAAGGAGCAATTCCAAAAGGAGAGATTATTCTATTTACTCGTATCATAAGGGATTTGGGAAAAAAAAAAAAATGCAGAAAAGATAAATGTACCAAACCGACTGCCGATGACTGCATACGGATGGACGATAGCGTCCCGCCCGAGTTATCTGCAAACACGGAGAGCTGCGTTTGTCTTCCTCCGCAAGCTCAGATAAATGATACGGATTTGGATTACTATCGAGAAAGACTTATGGATTTGGAGAAAGAAATAGAGAGTCATAAATTAGTGATCAAGTCATACCAACGGAACAGGTCTGTCGCGGATGCTGATATTCTCACCGAACCGCTGATGAAAAATCTACAAGTCCTGCAAGCGCAAGCTACGGAGATCAGAGGTAAGTGCTCTTTTTCTTGCTCTTCAGGCATTGTTCCCCCCA